TCAGGGGGATAGACTCTAGTGAAAGTTTTTTTAAGGATAAGGGAGACTTGGGTACATTTGTAAGCAGCAGAGATGGAACCAGTAGAAAAGAACTGGTAGGAAGAGAAAGTAAGTGCTGGGTGGCACAGTAAATGGAGTGCCAGACCTGGAGTCAGGAAGACCCGAGTTTGAATCCTGCCTCAGAGGTCTTACTACACATTATTTATTAGACGTTGCCCAGGTATGACCCTGGACAAGTCGTTTACCTCTCTCATGCTCAGTTTTCCCATCTATAAAACAGGTGGCAAAAATGGCGCCTCCCTCACCAGTATGCTGCGAGGATCCAATGAGCAAAGACAATAGGCAGAGTACTTTGCCAAACTAACAGTGCTACATAAACATTAGCTACTACTAAATTCTATCTGATTCCTCTGGGAGGGAAGCTGGCAAGTACATTTAGCCCCATCTTATAAATGTGGAAACTGAGGCACAGAGTCACTCCTGACTTGCTTCAGGTCACTCAGCTAATAAGTGGCAGGGCCAGGATTCCAACTCAGGTCTTGTGATTCTAAAGACAGGATTCTTGGCACTACGAGTGAGCTGTGTCTGTGCGTCAGACGTCCTTGAATTAATTCACTGTTGCAGGAGAAAACAAGAGCTACACTATCTATGTGGTTGGCTAACGGTTGGTTATAAACTTGAACTTCCTTAAGGACACAAAGGTTCCTTTCATGGGGTTTAATCTAATATACAAAGAAGCACCGTATTTCCAAAATACAAAGTAAAGGGGGAAAAAAAAGAGGGGAAACTGAGGTTAGCTTTGCTTGTAACTTTGAGGCACAGGTCACAGATGGAGTTTAATACAGAAGCCTCAGTTCAACAAAAACCTCAAAAAAGAGGGGAGAGAGAAGACCATTAGGTCAAAGGGAAACAGTCCTGAGGTGGGAAAGACCATTCTTTGGGCTGTTTACCAATTTGCACCGTGGTCTCCCATGCACTCCTTTCTTCATCTCTACCTCAAATAATCTTGAGCTTCTTCCAAAGGACAAATCAGGTACCACTTTCTCCAGATTTCACCATCTCCACCCTTAGCATCTTCTCTCTCTTTGAAACTATTTTGCATTTTGTTCAGTCGCTTCAGCCACGTCTGATTCTCCATGACCTCATTTGGGGTTTTCTTGGCAGATACTGGAGTGAATTGCCATTTCCTTCTCCAACTCATTTACAGATGAGGAAACTGAGGCAAACAGGGTGAAGTGACTTGTCACCCAGCTAGGAAAAGTCCGAGGCTGGATTTGAACTCAGGAATATGAGTCTTCTGCCTCCAGACTGTTTCCTATTTGTAATCTCCAGCACCTATCACAAGACCTGAAAAACAGTAGCTTCGTGATAAACCATTTATTGAACTGAATTGATTTGCATTTGTTGCGCTGAATTAATTTACATCAGTCAACAAGTCAACACACATTTATTAAGCCCCTACATGTGCCAAGAGCTGTACTAAATGCTAGGGTTAGGAAGAAAGGCAAAGGACAGTCCCTGCCCTCAAGGAGCTTATGGTCTAACCACACAAACAACTCTGTGCAAACAAGATCCGCAGATGATAAACTGGAGACCCCAACTATTCATTCCAGGGGCATTTGTTAAGCACCTACTTGTGCCCGTCTCTATTCTAGGAAAAACAGTCCCCATCCTCAAGAAGCTGACATTCAACCAACCCCATGCCAAAAGGTCAACGGCTCAGGAGGCAAAGCCTTGGGCCCTGTCTCTCATGCTTACTAATCGTGTGGCCTCGAAGGAATCACTCCCCAGCCTTATGTTGTTTTCTCCATCTGTGAGGCCAAAGGCTGGGCCAGATGTCCCTTCCAGTTCTGATAATGGCCCCCCTTCTATCATTGGCTGCTTTGCAGTGCATTGATGCCTGCAGATCTGTGATGGTGTGTGCCGGCCATTTGCTCCCAAGCCTAGAAAAATCCCTGTGTCTTCCCTTAATATTACCGGCAGTCACTTCTTCCTGGGATGAGTTTGGTCTCCCCCATACCAAAAAATACACTTGTAATCATCTGCTTCTAATCTATGTTGGGCTTAAAAACCAAATCACCAAGATACACACACACACACACACACACACACACAGGTTGTTTTGTATTACGTGATAGGAATAGAATTGAGGGGTAAAACAAGTGAAGACACCAAGAAAGGGACTGAGGATCTTCTCCAAGAAAGCAAGTGAATGTGTCCAATGTCACAGAAAGAGCTGGCAGCATCTGTTTGGGATGCTGAGAAGCCCGATTGCTTTTTTCCCGGTTCTCAAGTGCATTATGGATAACTGAGCTCTGGATAGGCGTATGTAAGAGAGGGAAAGGGGGGAGGAAGCAGGAGGGAAGAGAAGGGAAGAGAAGGGGAGAGAGGGGGAGAGAGAAGTGGGGAGAGAGGGTGACAGGGAGAAAGGGGGGGAGGGAGAGGGAGAGAGAGAGAGGAAGAAAGAGAGAGAAGAGAAAGAAAGAGAAAGCAAGCTTCTAAACAAGCTTCCATTTGAGGAGAAGCAATATAAGTGCAGGGCAAGCCCCAATTAGAGGAAAAACCAACTGCTCAAGTCGAGTTCAAGCTGGAACGATGGGAACACAATGTTTGCCTTTGACTCTGCGGATCTCCTAGCGCCACCAAACTGCCAGCTCTTGTCATCCTCACCATTAGCAGAACATTTCAGTAGTAAGAAATGGGATGAGGCGTTCATTTCTTAAATTACAGAATTTTAGAACTGAAAGGAACTTTAAGGTTCATCTTGTCCTTGCTTTTACAGAAGAGAAAAGTGAAGTGATTCCCCCAAGAACACAGCTGTACTCCCCAGCAGAGGTAAAATTAAGGTCATGGGGTTTGGGATGGGGGGAGGGGGCTCTTCACCTTCTCTGCGTCCTGGCCCCCTCAGACACTCAGTCAGACTGGGGAAGTCCACGGACCCTTCTCAGAATCATGTTCATAAGTGCATAAAATAAACCACAAAGAACTACAAAGGAAACCAATTATGCTGAAATCCAGTTACCAAAATATCTGACAAAATAAAAAAGCAAGTTCACAAACTCCAGGTTAAAAACTCCCATCTAGTCCAACTGCTTCATTTTACAGGTGTGAAAACTGAGGTACAGAGAGATTACATGATAGCCAGGATGACACCCAGAACAAGCGGCAGAATTTAATGCTTCATGCTCCATTTCCCACATTGCTTTCATGGCCCCTCATTTATTCCCACCCCCAATCGTTTGGAGGGAAGTGGACTTAAAAAAGACAGTAAAAATGGGTTCTGGTCCTATCACCATGTGACCTTGGAGCAATCTCAACTGCCTTATCTGTAACAAAGTATGTAATACCTGCTCTGCCTAAAAGGAATGGATGAGACACAATATACAAGGGCTGAATGGTGCCAGAGGACCTGGGTTCTAATCCTGACTCTGGCACTTACTGTCTGAGTGACTTTAGATAAGTCATTCCCTCTCACTGGGCCTCAATTTACTCATAAAATGAGGAGTTTGAACTACATGACCTCTAAAGGTCCTTCCTGTTCTAAATCTTTGGATTCTATGTCTGGTGTCCAGTGTTCCTTAAACTGTAGTTGGCTTTGACACTGCCAGACCAGATGTTTGTTATCATCTTACAAATGAGGTAATCAAGGCCAGAGAGGAAGTGCAAAGTAATGGGCTAATGGTAAGGCTCCTGATTGCAAAGATGGTGACCTCAATATTGAAAAGCACATTTGAGTTCTGGCTAAAGGAAACTTGGAAATTCCTCTCTCTCCTGGAATCTTGGAATTGAAAAAACCAAAAACATTGTTTCAGCCTTTGTAGGCTGAAACAATGTTTTTGGTTTTTTCAATTCCAAATTAACAGAGAAGGCACCACAAGAAAGCTCACAGCCTATTAAGACAGGAGGTGCAGCAAGGTGACGGTCACCAACTGCTTAGCAACAGGGCCATGCTGACTTTGATTTTTCTTACACCCAGAAAAGTCCCTCTTCATGGAGGTTAATACATAACCAAAACATACGGCCCACCCTTATTGCCAACCATCTGGGCAGCAGATGCTTGAAAAATCAAAGCCCTCTTCAGACAAGGAAGAAAGGCCAGGCTTGGCTCACACTCCCTCTCTTTCTGAAGAACAGCTGGGAACAAACCTTCCCCGCTGGACCTGAATACCTCAGGACCTCTGAATAGCAGGAAACTGTAGTATTTTTTTTGTTTGCTTGTTTACATCACCAAGGGGTTGGGGGGGCAAGGAGAGATAGAAGAGACACACTGAGAGGGAACGGGAGAGAAGGAAAGGCAGGGAGGATGGGGCAGGGGTATGGGGGTTGGGGGGAGGAGGAAGAGCTCTTTGCCTACAAGACAAGTTTAAAAGTTTCTAAAGGACACATTTGCAACCTTTCCCTGGAACAATAAGGAGAGATGATTGCTTCTGGAAAGTCAAGTTCAATGCTAACCAGTGTGAGGGCATGAAAGGGTTGGCCAGGGATGCTCCTGCTTCCCTAAAGGTCAAATCCTGCTAGTTTCAACCCGGATCCCAGCATCCACCTGCTCCTTTCCAGGAACCTCAGCCCTCAGCCTAGCCACGTGGCCACCGCGGGGTAAAATTCACCCTTCACTGATGTTAATACGCAGAGTATCCTCCAGACCCTTAGCGCAACCGTTTGAACAGAGCAAATGCTCCAATCCCGGGAAAGAAAAGCGCCTGGCACTAAGTAAATGCTCAAAACAAAGGTCTGCCCCAATGAAGTGAAAACAAGCTGGGCAGCAGCCCCGCCTCCGCCGCGAACCGGGAGATAGCTGGGGGAGCCTCTCCCCCCACACCACCTCCCTAGACAACCCTCCAGATGGACCACTGACCCGGGAGGGGTAAAATGGCCCGGGGGGGGGG